AGTGTGTGTGTGTGTGTGTGTGTGTGTGTGTGTGTGTGTGTGTGTGTGTGTGTGTGTGTGTGTGTGTGTGTGTGTTTGGGGCTGAGATTAGTGTGGGCTGGGTGTAGAAGGTTAAACAAAGGAAAGAAAGTTAAGGTCGAGAGAATCGTTTTGAGAGACTGGTGACTCTGTCCATGCCTTGTCTATACCACATCTGACACTGCGGCTACCGAGAGAGAGCTGCACTGAGGGTGACTCATGACCAATTTTTCCTAGTGTCGACAAGGCCAAGGTGACTTCAGAACTCTCTCAGCATCTGGCATCCCTAGAAACTAGAAATGGCTTGGTGACCAGTAAATAGGAGCGATTCTAACCCCGCTCAGCAAAGCAATGCACAGAAAGCTCTTTGGGAGGCTTTATAAAATCTACTCAGCACAGCCGTTCTAGGCACATGTCTGGCATTAAAAATAAAATAAAAAGGCTTCCCCCAGGGCACTGATCAAGCCAGCACTTCCCCATGTCAGGGAAATCCCTGAGAGAACAGCTGGGCCCAGAACTCATAGCAGACTTGGGTCTAATTTGAAATCCTGGACTGGAAGCTACGTTGGGTTAATAAATCAAAAGTATTTGAAGGGAGTTCATTTTTTATTATTAATTAGATTTATTCTCCCAAGGACTGGGGGCTGTGGGGAGGGGGATTTTTCTCTTTGTTGTAGTGCTGAGGAGAGTCCGCTCCCCCCCCCAACTCTCACTTCCCCCTTCACTTTACCTCCCACTGTGGCATTATAGCTGACAACCAGCCCTGCTAGACTGGAACACGGAGGACTCCTTGTTTCCCAGCCTGCTCGTGCTGCTTGCCTAGCGCTCAATATGGCTGCTGTGGTACGAGAGGTGCACACCTGTGCTTCCCGTCTCCCTCCCCTCTGCCTTGGCAATGTCAGAGCGGCGCTGGGCTTTGGACCTGCAGGTTTGCTTCAGGGCACCGAATTATGTGAACCAGTGAAGCAGAAGGGGAAGTTACTGTCTGACCCCACCTGGTAATCAGCACATACCCTGAAGCATGAGGATTGCTCATCTCTGTAATACTATCCAAGCTAGTGTAACTGCACACCTTGTTCATGTGACTATCTCATTCTTATTTTAGTCTCACCAAGCTCCTAATATCCCGTCTCAGTAAGTTTGATAGGTTATTTCCACGTTGCATAAAGTATTTCCCTTTATCTGTCTTAAATTTGTTCCCATTTAATTTCAGTGAGTGACCTCTGGCGTTCGTGTTATGAGAGAAAGTAAACAGGAGCTTCCAGTTGTCCATCTCTGCCTCCATTCTCCTGGTACAAATACTCCCTGCCCAAACACTAATCACTCTCTTGACCCTTTTCTGGAATGTTCTGCTGCATCTTCCTGGAGCTGACATGGCCCAAAGTCAATTCACTGTTTAAGTCAGGCCATACAGTTGGTTTATACAGTGTCAGGGCTTGACTTGGAGATGTTTAAATCCCCTCCGAACAAGAGCTGGTAGATCAAAAGTCAGTATGTGGAAGTGTGGCTACTCCACTGATCCAACATGCATGTGACTGCAGTGAAATACAAACCATGGAACGTCTTTTGGTCTGCTGGCTCCTGGAGGAACCATGCACCATGGAAGATCGTGCCAGGGCTACAGACCAGGCCCTATCATGTGCCCAACACTGGAAAAAATGATGATTGTGGTGGAAGGATATGAGAAGTAGAAGAAAGCAATGTCAGTCTATTTCCTTATTCTCTCTCCCATTGCTGATACAGCCTGATGTCTGAGAGCTTTTCCAACAGCTGCTCTGCACTGAGTGGCCTTCTTGATTTGAACTGGCCACAGGGACGGTTTCTCTTTTCTGGGACGTTACCCCTGAGCAGGACCCATTAATACGGAGCAGTAGTTTGAAGGAGTGATGGGTCCTGGCCTTTGGTTTGGGCGCAGGCACCTCCCTAGACTTCGGAAATGTTAAGAACATTATGATTTATCGTGTAGGAGTACAAACCCACAGGCAGACCCAGATCCTGCTCTGAGGAGTTTATAATCAGGTGTGGTCATGCACAATGTCCAAGAGTGAGGAGTAAGAGAATGAGATCAGAATTGCAGGCAGAGCCTTCCAAGGTGAGATTTGCGGATTACAGCATACTTTGATAGATTAACCCCCATCTTCTGGGAGGGTGCTGTATGAAAAACCAGCTCCTTCCATGCTGAGTTTCTCGAGGAGGCATTAATGCAGCATTTTTGATGACCGTCAACTACACAGAGCAAAAGACCTTTCTTGGTACCCTTCAGAAATCTACCCCTCTTCACCCACTCCATGGTAGGTGAAAATGATTCTGTATCCAAGGCTTGTGTCGTTTCTGGTACTGTCCACTGAAGGGGTGGGAAGTGGCATGGATGTTTTGGATGGGACTAATCATACTTGTCACAGCTTTCTTGAAATACTGAAGCCAGGGCTGTTTGGTCCTTTCAGTCTGCGTGGAGGAAAAGAGGCTCCCTGGGACAGGGGCGGCTCTATGTATTTTGCCACCCCAAGCACGGCAGTCAGACAGCCTTTGGCGGCATGCCTGCCACCCTCATGGAGACTGGCAGGCCGCCCCTGGCACGCACTTGGTGCCTGGAGCCACCCCTGCCCTGGGGAATCTTAAATTGCAGTGGTCTAAACCCGGTCTTGAGAAATCTCCTGGGACTTTGAGGACAAGCCGGGCCTCTTTTTCAGGCCTTACTTTGGCATATTTGCCTCATTTTTCTTTTAGCAACTTAAACCTTTTTGGGGAGTGAAATTTGAGGAATGTCCCATTTTAGCATAAACCCTCATTAAGGGGTTGTCATGATAAAGTAGTTTAGCCCACTAGCCAATTCAGCACCGCTGTGAGGGATTAGATATTGCTGTAGTGAAACAGACGGCCGGCATCTCCTAGTGCGGGGAATACTACGTCTGGCATCACAGTGTTTATTTTATCCTTTGTAACAATGCACCCAGCGTGACCTCGAGCCCAAGAAATATGTATTTCTAAACCTAAATTGAAACACCACTGAACTGAAGCAATGTTAGCTCAGGAGAACTCCCCTTAACCAGAGCTGAGCTCTCCTGTTGAGAGCCGTTAAGCCCATTAAAATGGAGACCGGCAAAGCTGAAGGACCAAAGTTCTGTCTTCAAATAACCTTTTGAGGCTATATGTATCAGAGACTTGCAGGAAAGGAAGCTGCAGCTTCCAGTGTTTAGAGTATAGGTCGGTGAGTTGGGACAGCTGTGTTGCTGAGTCACTCTGTGACCCAGAGCAAATTTCGTCCTCTCTCTGTGCCTTGGCTCCCCAGCTGTACAATCAGGATAACGGCTCCCTAGCTTTGTAAATCTCCGTTGCAGTTTTGGGGCGAAAGTGATGCATAATTGCAAAGTAGCGTTACTAAAACAAGGACTTTTGCAGAAAGGACTCTGAATGGGCCCCAGCCAATGTTAATTTCCTGTTTGGGGCAGTTAGTCTGCAGAGGGATTAATTGAAGTGTATGTGAATTCTTTCAATGTAAATACATAGAATCAGGGAAACAGGCTGCCCCCTAGACTCTTTTTCCATATGGAAGATGTGTGATAGAGCAGGGTCCCGCAGCTGAGCGGGACACCCCGCCATTTGGATCCCTGCAGCTCCCCCACACACATGCGTGCTGCCAACGGTCAGGAAATGTTTTCAACAAGCATTTTCCAAATAACGGCGCTTGCTGCTTTTATTTACATCGGAAGCCTTCAACTCACCGGAGGAGACCTGGTTAGAGCCTTACAGAAGTTTCTGGTCCAAATTTGAGCCACGTTACCCCTTTCTGCAGACGCTTCCTCGAAGAGGGGGGAGATCTGAGATCCACCTCTCAGAGTTCCCTGCAGATTGTCCCTTCAGGGGGATGGGAAATAACAGGGAGGGGAATTACTGCGGTGAGGGGTGGCTGCTTCATCGCTAACTCAAGTCTGGATGATTTTCTAAAGGAGATGCTGTAGCTCAACCAGAAGTTATGGGCTTGTTGCAGAAATCGCTGGGTGGGATTCTCTGGCCTGTCATTCAGGGGGTCAGGCTAGATGACTGCAATGGCCTTAAAATCTAGGAATCAGTGACTTGGGGGAGGAGGGGGGCTGATGAGGTCTCCCAACCCTGCAGATCTGTTGTATTCGTGAAGGCACCCACCAAACCTGCCTCTGTTGGTTCCTTTGCTTTCCCAGGCATCACCATTCCTGCAAAAGCTGTGCTGCCGTTGACCCTGTCGCTGTCTGAACTTCCTCCTGCATTTCTATTGGGAGGTCCAGTGAGTGCACGGGGGCAGGGGACGAAGCCTGGGAGCATGGCCAATCTCATGGCTCCGACCCTCAAAGCTGCAGGGTGGCCAGCAGGAGAAAGAGATTTCCCAGGGGGAAGCACTCCCTGCCCCTCTCTTGCTTCTAGCTAAGCAGGAGGAAAACTCTCCTGAGACCCCTCGGGGACAATTCAGCCATTTTCATGTATTCACAACCAATTCCGAGTTCCACAAAGCACCTGAGAGCAGGAAACGTTTTTTCCCTACATGCAGAAACGCTAATTGCCAAGCCCATCTTTTTAAATTACGGAAGAAAGCCCTTAATTGGCTGGTTAGCTGTAACCTTTAGCCCAAGCACACTGCTGCAGCTGAGTTATAAATCTTTAGAATTGAATTTTAATAGAAACATTAATACAGCCATTATCTCTTAGCGACGGGCCTGTGCCCGCGTAATTCAGTCGCTTGTTGCTTGCTCTCTCAGCCACACCTTATTAATTTCTGAGCTAATGGGAGAGTATTTATCCTGCGCTCTAATTGGGCTCTTTAAAACGGGAAGGCAGACGTGCTGGTGTCAAAACCACATCAAACTGGGTCATGAGAACAGGAAGAATCCAGCACAACCTACTTCAAATTGATAATCTACTGAGGGCTTGTCTACACGGTGCATTAGTCCACACCAGAGAGATGTAAATTCTAGTCTGCATTAGCGTGTCATGCACTAATAGCCTGTGTGGGCCCTTCTGGCACACACTAAAAGTTCCCTAGTGCACGTTAATGCAGGCCCATTTCGGCTCAGTTAGGGTCTTGGCCAAAACCCATTGAAGTCAATGGAAAGACTTTCATTGATTTCAGTGGGGTTTGGATCCAATTCTTATTGCGCTATGAAACCCATGCAATAGTTGCCGTTGGTTTAGCAGTGGTTTCATACGGAGATTGTGGGTGTTTTAAGCCTGCTTGCAGAAGTCTTGGCAGTTAGGTGTTTCAGAGCTAATGAGAGGAGCATTTCTTGGCTTCCAATTCAGTAGGGTTACAGGGTTAGGCTTTATCTCAATAATGGCTAGAAAAGACAGCCGAAATAGTCATTCTGTTATCTCCTCTCCCGCCTCTCAGTTAATGCTAGGGAGAAGAGGTGAGTCTTCCATTATTCCTCAGGCAGAAGGAAAATTAATTATATGCCTGTCGCTGACGTAATATAACCCCATTGGGCTTTAAGGGCTATCTTATGCCCTGTGTGGCCCAGTTAGAGCCAGAGAAGAGCAACAAGAATGATGAAAGGTCTAGAGAACATGACCTGTGAAGGAAGGCTGAAAGAATTGGGTTTGTTTAGTTTGGGAAAGAGAAGACAAAGAGGGGACATGATAGCCGTCTTCAGGTATATAAAAGGGTGTCATAAGGAGGTGGGAGAAAACTTGTTCACCTTAGCCTCTAAGGATAGAACAAGAAGCAATGAGCTTAAACTGCAGCAAGGGAGGTTTAGGTTGGAC